GTCCCTTATATAAAATGGTGTAGAATTTGCATATAACCTACACACATCCTCCCATATACTTTAAGTCATCTTTAGATTACTTATAGTACTTAATACAATGTAAATGCTAAGCAAATAGTAGGCAGGCACAGAGCAAATTCAAGTTTTGCTTGTGGAAGTTCCTGGAGTTTTTTCCAAATATTTTTGATCTATGGTTGGTTGAATCCACAGATGCAAAACCCTTGGATATGGAAGGTCAACTGTATTTGCCACCAATCCCCATGGGAGGTTAGTATTTTTCCACCCTGCTGAAGTCAGGCATTGACCAATAACATGTGTGGATAAACGACATGTGCCACCACTTCTCAGCAAAAGCTTTACAAACCATCACGTGATTTTGCCATGGTTCTTTTCCCTCTGCTAGAAGACTAGCATGTACCAGGTAGGAGCTGCAGCCAACACTTGCAGGACATGGAAATGAAGCTAGAAACAAACCTATGTTTTTGCAAACCAAGGAGATTCAGGGGCTGTTTGTTACTGCATCATACTCCAGCAAAACCTGACTGATTCACAATATTCGACTACATCTGGCTCCTCAACAGCAAAAATGGAAGCCAGCAGATGGCTGAACAATAGCATCAATGTACTAAAAAGAAAACTAGTGCCAACTTAGAATTCTATACACAGAGGCACTATCCTTTAAGAAGAAACATTAAATATACACATTGTCATAAAAAACTGAGAGAGTATGCCACCAGGAGACCATTATACATTGAAGGAATTCTAAAGGCTGTTCTGCAGAGAGAAGGAAAATTATCTGAGATGGCAGATCATGGATGCAGGAAGGAATGAAGGACAAAGACCATGGTAAATACGGGGGTCAATCGAACTGAAGATTGGCTGAGTGAAAGAACAATAATAAAGTCTGTGGAGGGACTTCCCTGGTGGTCCCGTGGGTAAGACTCCATGCTCCCAATGCAGGGGCCCCGGGTTTGATCCCTGATCGGGGAACTAGATCCCGCATGCATGCCGCAACTAAGAAGTCCACATGCTGCAACCAAGATGTCCGCATGCCGCAACTAAGACCCGGCGCAGCCAAAATAAATAAATATATTTTTTTAAAAAGTCTTCAGTTATACAGAGAACAGAACCTCGGAAATCAAAGGGTAGTAACTGGAATTTAAGTGTTCTAAGGTCTTTGCACAGTCACCAAGTCAGGAGATACACTAATATCTTATAGCCCCTGATACGCGCTGAGAAGGCACACATCTCTGTGGTACCCTTCCTCATGCTGCTCAGCCTCAGATAAACACAAGCTGAGGATATTCTACAACACACCTGGCCAGTGCTCTTCAAAAAGTGAGGTCACAAAAGATGAGGAAGGATTAAGGAAATGTCAGAGCCTGGAGGAGACTAAGAAGACATGACAACTAAACGCCTTGTGGGGTGCTGGGCTGGATCCTGAACCAGAAAGGGGACATTAGGAGAAAAACTGGTTGAATGCAAATGAAGTCCACAATTTACAGTACCGAACCGCTGTTAACTTCTCAGTTGTCAACACTGTACCTGGTTATGTTTGACATTAACATGAGTGGAGGCTGAGTCAAGGGTATAAGGAAACTCCACTATTTTTGTAACTTTTCTCTAAGACCAAAACTATTTCAAAATTAAATCTAAAAACAAATCACCCAGAAACACTGACTGTTAACATTTCTGGTGTATTTTCTGCCTGTCCCTTATCTTGCACGGGGTGATGTTCTACGCTCCACATAAATAAGATCATGTCAGACACGTGGTTTTATTCTAAACCAGGCTTTCGGAGATGTTACCATGTTACAAATAAGGAAATTAAGGTCTAGAGCAGGTTAAAGGTCATACAGTTAATAAAGGCCCAGACTCAAGGTGAGTGCAGGTCCCCTGATGCTAAATTCCAGAATCGCACTAACCCAATTTTTGAAGGGTAAGTTCATCCACTTGTTCACGTATGCATTTGACCATACCCCGCACCTGCTGTGGGGAGACAGTCTAGGAGACCATGATCCCACCATTAACCTGCTTCCATGCTAAAGGTTTTATACTGCAGCCCAGGGCTCCCAGCCACACAGCCTGCCTGGTGTGACTGGGTAGGACAAGGTGATGTGCCCCTGCAAGAAAAGACTCATTGGGCTTCCCTGGTGGCGCAGTGGTTGAGAGTCCGTCTGCCGATGCAGGGGACACGGGTTCGTGCCCCGGTCCGGGAAGATCCCACATGCCGCGGAGCGGCTGGGCCCGTGAGCCATGGCCGCTAAGCCTGTGCGTCCGGAGCCTGTGCTCCGCAACGGGAGAGGCCACAACAGTGAGAGGCCTGCGTACCGCAAAAAAAAAAAAAAAAAATTCTAATTGTGGTAAAATACACGTCACACAATTTACCATCTTAACTATCTTCAAGTGTGCAGTTCAGTATTAGGTACATTTATATTGGGGCACCGATCTCCACAACGCTTTCATCTTGCGATGGACTTCCCCAGACTTCTCTCAATCCTTCCCCCTCCCTTCCATACTTCTCCACTGCCTGCCACCCATAAATCACTATAACCAAGGGACTGGAGCCCAGGTCTCACAAGTTCCAGGGCAAGATTCCCTGCTACCACCCTGGGTGGCAGCTGGGCCTGGGCCTAGCTGTGGGGCCAGTGGGCTGGCCAGGCAGCCTGGACTTCCGGGCAGCTTTCACACTGCAGTCCTGCTGCCTCCTGCAGATCGGAGTTCTCTGCCCCAGGGCAGGCACCAGAGCAAGCCCAGGCAGCTCTCAGCTTCCACCTCCTGTTTGCCTGAGGTTGCTCCAGGTCACCAGGGGAGGGTGGGCAGGGAGGGCAAGAGAGGTGAACTCAGGCTCCTCCCCAGCACGAGTGACTCAAGGAGGGGAGTCCAGGTCCCAGGAGTCCACTTTCATCCCAGGGCGTGGGGTGCAGGCAGGTGAGCAGGGTCCTACTCCCTCCACCCCGACAGCCACAATGCCCTGGTCGTGACACAGCTCTCAGGTTTAGAACAATCTTGGACCTGGCAGAAGCTACAGCGGGCACCAGGGGTTACCTGTTAGCCTGCTCTTGCTGTGGTCTGAAATCTTCAGTTGCTGCCTCTCCAGGAATGGCCAGCTCTCCTCCCTCCTCCCTTCACCCTCGGGCTAGGGCCTGGCCCCAGTGGACAAGAGAGGACAAAGGAGGGCAAGGAGTGAAGAGCGGGTGGGCAGGGGCCACACAGCTGTGAAGCCTCTGTAAGTGCCAGGTTCTTTCCCATGGGTTAAGCCATTTCATTTATGACCTGGTTCTGCCTGTTTACAAGTGAAGAAACTGAGGCTCAGAGAGGTCACCAGGAAGTTACAGACTCGGGATTAGAGCCAGGGCCGCCTTTCTTCATCCTCTTCCTCCTGGTTAGAAAGCAGTCATGAAGTGGCTTTTTTGCAGATGGTGGGTTCGAGCTGAGCATGGTCAACCGTCAGGTTTGGGGAGGCACTGGGGGACATGGACTGGAGGCTCAGAACTCGCTGTCTCCTGGGGGTGACTGCCAGATGACCCACAAGTGCCAACGCACTGCATCAAGCACACTGCCCCAGTGACAGAGGATGGGGGAGTGGTTTTGCCTTGGCGGTGGGAGGAGGGGCCTTGGGCACAGTGGATGCCCTTAATGGATTTTCCCAACAACAAGCACTCACAGATGAGGACACTGAGGCAGTCCCCAGCACAGAGGTCTGTGAGGCAGGGGCCAGAGCTGGGCCTGAAGGAGCTGTGGGACCAGTCCTGAAGATGGGACGCCACCTCTCAAGCAGAGGAGAGTGGAGACATAATGCATAGGCTGGAAAGTGCCCTCCAGGGCAGAGTGGGGAAAGGCCAAGAGCAGGCAGTAGGGAGCCCAGGCAGACTGCTGCAAAACTCAAGGAGAAAGGTGATGAGGCCAGAGGTGGCAGCCAGAGAGAAGGGGAAAATTCCAAGCCTCCATTGGTGGCTCCAGGGTTTTACAGTCTTGGCCACTCACAAGTAGCATGGATGCACATACTACCCAGCCCAGGGAAACTGACCCAAGACAATGTGAGTGCGTGCTGGGTGCGGGTTAACAGCCTTCCCAGCCACTTTAAGTCAGGCTCTGTGGCAAGCATTCTGACCTTCTGATCAACCTTCCTCATAAAAAGGAGAAGGACAAACTGACATTTACAGATGCCTACTATCTGCCAAGATACTGTGCTGCGCATGTGCTTCACAGATGATACTTCATTTAATCCTCCCAGCCAAATTATGATCCCCTTTTTGAGATGAGAAGACCAAGGTGTAGAGAAAGAAATGAAGTTGTCCAAGGCCAGCCGATTCAGGAAGTGGGTGCACCCAGGGAGCTTCTTTCCCTTCCCCGGCCCCAGGCATTAAGTGCCTTGCCCCTTGACATCTGGGCAGTGTGGCTCCTGAGCCAACTCCACAGGGATGCCAAGTCTGGGGGCAGGTGGTCCAGGCAGAGGTATCTGCCCTGTGAGCCCAGGAAGGTGAGCAAAGTTCACTGCATACAACCCCCACCCCCGCCCACTCTGGCCTCTCCCACGCTGTCCAGGCAAGCAGGTAGAGGGGGACAGAGGCCTGGTTCCTGTCCAGCCCACCTTCTTTTTTTTTTTTTTTTTTTGCGGTACGCGGGCCTCTCACTGTTGTGGCCTCTCCCGTTGCGGAGCACAGGCTCCGGACGCGCAGGCTCAGCGGCCATGGCTCACGGGCGCAGCCGCTCCGCGGCATGTGGGATCTTCCCGAACCGGGGCACGAACCCGTGTCTCCTGCATCGGCGGGCGGACTCTTCAACCACTGCGCCACCAGGGGAGCCCCCACCTTCTTTTTTTGTTTTGTTTTGTTTTGTGTTTCACTGAGGCTGCTGGCATTTATTTTTTCTGGCATTTATTATTTATTATTGTAACCACATCAACTCTGTGGTTACCCATTAACCTTGGGTAAATGTCTCCACTCCTCTCGGAGTACTGTTTTGCTCAGCCTTCAAAAGGGAATAATACTGCTTACCTAAGAGGAGGCGGCGAGAATCAAGGAGGTGATGGACGGAACGCGCCTCTTCCGAAGCTGTCGGGTTCTGGAAACCGAGACGGGCGAGCGAGGCAGGAGGAGAGGAGACGGCAGCGGAGGAGCGGGACGGGCTGGGCGCCCTCTGGGAGCATCGGCCACGTTTCGGGCTGCGGACTGGCCCGGGTCCGAGCTGGCGCACACCGGGCGGCCGCGGCGCCCAGCGCAACCGGCAGGGAGCTCAGGCGCCACCGCCGCGCGGGATCTCGGCAGGCTGGGTTAGGCTGGAGCCGAGAGCCCGGGCGGGGCTCAGGTTGGCACGCAGTGGGCGGGGGTGGCCCCTGTCCCCGCCCCCCACATCCGGGGGCCTGGGCCTGGCTGTGGGCCGGCCGCGAGCCAGTGAGTCAGGCCGGGTTTTCCCTCCGCCTCTGGGGAAGGCTAGGGAGCGCTGCCGAACGAATTGGCGTCCGTCCCTCGCCAATCCGGCTTCGGCGCCCGCCCGCCCGCGTTTTTCCTGCGCCTGCCGCCTGGCCGCTCCATCCTGGTTCGCAGTCTCTGCTGGAGCCGGCGCCCTGGAGGGAAGGTTCAAGTCCGCGCAAGGGAGCTGCAGCGCGCGAGAGGTACAGAGCGGAGCCGGCATGGTGAGTGGGGCGCGTAGCGGCCTGGGGCCGGACTCGGGCGGGTGGGGCCGGCCGCCGAGGTCTAGCTTACCCGGCGACCTTGGCCAAGCCGGAGCCCTACGCCGGCCGAGGTTCACGGCTGAGAAGTGAGCGAGGGTGGCAAGATGCAGTGTGCGCCCAGGTACCCCTTGCTTCCAGATACCGAAGCACTGAGGTGCGGGATCGGGGACCGTCCGCGAGCAGGGACGCTCTGCTGGGAGGGCGGGCGGCAGGTTACGCTGCAAACGCGCTTTCCTTGGGGCAGCTCCTGGGACCCCTGCACCACTGCTGGGGTGGGGCAGTTGCCCTTGGCGCTGGAGCTTGACCTCGGCTTCCCTGCCCCCAGGCTATCCGCTCGGGGCAAGCCTTAGAGAGGAGCCTGGAAGAGACATCCCCTTCCGCCCCTCAGGTAGCTGGAGGACCTCCCGCAGTTCTGGGGGAGCCCTCGCCTCGGCCACAGCCTTCCCCGGGGAAATTACATAGAGATGCCAACCTCGCCTGCCCCTCCACCTTACCCACGAGACCCCTCTCCTGCCCTCTCCCGCCCCCTCCGGGGTCCCCGCTTCCTCCGCTAACCCCCTACCCTGTACGAGCGGCAGCTGCCAGCCTGCTGCCAGGGGTCCCATGAATAGGGGACGCTCCCAGGTCTTGAGCACCATCCCAGTCTGGCCACAACCTTTGGCCAAAGTGAGGGCCCGCCTGGGGTCGGGCGGAAATCGGGGCCCTGACTGCGTCCAGAAAAAGGACTGGGACCTGTCATCTCCCACCCAGCAATCTCCCCGCCTCCACGAGCAGATCGGGGCTCTCCTCGCTTGCACCAGGAGCTCAGCCTGTCCCTCGGCCTCGGTGCTCCCTGCCCGGCCTAGGGAGGGACAGAGGCAGGAGGCTATCCTGGGCCCGGTGATCGGCCTCCTCCCAGAGCCCTCTTAGGCAGGGCTTCTCTCTCTATCGGCTGGCTGTGTGTGGGTGTGTATGTGCGAGACTGAATGAATGCAGCCAGCCTGCTCCCGTCACCGCCTATAGAGCTAGCAGCTTCCAGGGCTCAGAGTCCAAATGCAGCCGTGCTTCCACTATTTCTTCCTGACCCAGGGGCAAGGAGGGGGGATTACAGGCTGAGGGGACGGAGATCCAAACCAACTTGGTTGCAGGTGCCCTTGCGAGTGTGGGGAGCTGAGCAGATACAATACACAGCAGTGTGTGCCCATGGAGGGCAGCTGGGACAGCCTGGAGCAGAAGAGAGGGCCTTGCCTGGGCAGTTGGGATTGCTCTTCGTGTGGGATCTTAGGCAGCTCACCTCTTTCTGGGCCTCAGTTTCCCTAGCTGTAAGATGGGGTAAGGGTAACTACTGTCTTCCCCGCCTCCATGAGGCTGTCGTGGAGATGAGATGATGAAACAAAAGGGCTGATAAAAACTGTAGAGTGCCGTGCAACTGTAAGTGACCATATAGTGATACTACGAATCACTCCTGCAGCATTTAGACGCTGGACTCTGCCTTTTCACAGGTCGAAGTGGGACTAGGGAATGCCAGCCTCTCCCATTCCCTCCTTGGGCCCCTCTTACTGACTGCCCCCTCTTTTGGAGCTGGGACATTCCAGTCCCATTCCTCAGGGGCAGCTGCAGTCATGCCCCTCAGCAAAGCTGATCCCAAAGCAGGTGGTGGGACCCTCCCCTGGGGCCAGGGCTCAAGAGGGGCTAAAGGCAGCCAAGGCCAGACTGGGAGCTTCCTACCCGAGTACTCTGGGTGCACCCCAGAGGGGATGCACAGTGGGGTCAGGGCAGGCTTCTAAACGTGGGGAGCCTGTGTACAGTTTCCTATGCAGCTGAACGTGACCTTAGGCATGTTTTACCTCCTGGGCCTCAGTTTTCTCTTCTGAAGTGGGGGATGACAATATTCCCTTCCCATGTGTGTTGTGAGCACGTGGTAGGCCCAGCAGCAGGCTGACTCAACAAGGCACCCACCAAGGGATACTGGGATGCCTCCCTGAGTGTCCTCTCTTTTTCTGCTTCATGGCCAGGGTGGTCCCCCAGCCCTGTTCTCCTGTCTCCACCAAGGGTTCGTCCAAAGGAGATGCTCCCAGTGTCCAGGCTCTCCGTGTTTCTGGCTAATCTTGGAGCGGGTGGAGGGGGAGGTAGAAGCAGGAGTAAAGGGGCCCTGTTGGGGCTAACCGGGACCTGTGCAGAATAGGACCTATGTGGCCCAGCCGAAACCTTGCTGGCAGGGCGGTGGGGTGGTGGTAGTGAGGTTCAGCTCTGTGCAGAGCTCTGGTCCCCAGGCACATAATGAGTTCTGGGCGGGGAAGCCCAGGCACTTGGAGGAGGCGGCCCTGTTTTTCGCTCTGGTGGTCCCAGAGAGGCTGCAAGGCACTTGCTGTCTCTCTCTCCCTCCTCCCCCCATACATCCTCTCCTGCACAGCTGCTCTGGCCTGAGTGGACCAGTCCCTGGGCTTCCAAGCAATGGGAAGGCATGTGTGTATTGGGGGTGTGGGGGAGGCAGGGGAGGTGGATGGACTCCTTTAGGAAAAAGGACTGTCCCCAGACTGAGACCTGGGCAGGGTGGAGCCTCCCAAAAGCCAGGGGCCTTGGCCCTACTGGGGGGGCTAATAATATAGCCAGAGAAGTTATCTAGGAGGGGTGGAGGGTGGAGGGTGGGGGCCTTAGGGAAAGACAAAGGGAAGGGCTGTTTTTGCCCCTCCATCTAGCTCCATAGTTATTTCAAATTGCTCAACTCACTTGTGGAGAAAAGCCGATCCCGTGTGTGCGTGTGTGTG